TCTCTCTCTCTCTCTCTCTCTCTCTCTCTCTCTCTCTCTCTCTCTCTCTCTCTCTCTCTCTCTTATGTATACAATGTTCTGCTTGCGTGTATGCCTGCAGGCCAAAAGAGGGCACCAGATCTCATTATAGATAAGTGTGAGCACCCATGTAGTTGGCAATTGAACCCAGGTCCTCTGGAAGAGCAGCCAGTGCTCTTAGCCTCTGAGCCAGCTCTCCAGTCCCTGGTTTTGTTTTTCAAGAAATTATCTCATATAGACCAGCCAGCCTGACCTTCATCCTCTAGGTACCTGAGGCTGGCCTTGAACTCTTGATTCTCTTGCCCCCTTTCTTGAATGCTGAGATTGCAGGCATGCACCACCACACCTGCATTAGAAAGCATTTTACGAGTGTTTGAAGATGGCAATAAAGAAGAATTAACACCTCTTCACAGGGTCAGCCCCCAGAAGCTCTGAAAACTCAGAAACTGTGCAAAGTGGTTTTCTCTAAGGAGAGGATGGAAGTGAGGAGCTAGAGACAGCAACCGCTGCTCACTACATCTCTCAGGCAGTGTGATTGTTTTGCTCATGTGTATGTTTGTTCTTGTGTGTGCAGGTACACGTATGTGTGTGGGGGGGGTATCTGTAGATTACAGAGTGAAATAAGAGTGTCATTTACCAAGCATCATTTGACTTTCTTTTCCTTCTTCTTCTTCTTCTTCTTCTTCTTCTTCTTCTTCTTCTTCTTCTTCTTCTTCTTCTTCTTCTTCTTCTTCTTCTTTTTTCCTTTTTTTGCTTTGGAGACAGGGTCTCTCACTGGTCCTGGGGGCAGAGGCAGGTTTTCAATCCAATGCCAGGATTACAGCAGTGTGACACTGTGCCTGGGTTTTTAAATGTGCATCCTAGGAATCAAACTCAGGTTCCCATGCTTAGAAAGCATTCGCTTTACTGGCTAAGCTGTCTCCCAGACAAATTGATCTTTTACTGTGACTATCTACTTATTAAAATGTTTGAAATAATATTACAATTACCTGTAACCAAATAAATAATTATACGCATATCTTAAAATCTGATCTATAAAGTGCTGGAATGAGTTCTCTCCATATGAACTGTAAATATGGAGTTCAGTGAGCTCCGTCCCATAAAACTGGTCTGCATTCACTTCCATGGAGTGCCTTTGCTGGAGATGCTGTCTACAGCCAACTAGCCCTGGGATTTATAACGACCTCACAATCTTCTTTCTTGAGGTTCCATTTTCACTGATCTTATCACAGCTTGCTCTGCCTACTGAATAGGCTCCTCTTGATGTGTCCCAAGCCTCTGTCTCAAACCCTCCTTCTGCATTGTTTTCACATCTCAGGAAAGAACTGTGTGAGAACTACTACTCGGTGTCTCTGAAATCCCATGTCTGCCCCTCCTCCGCCACCTCCCATCCCTGAAGACTTCAGCCTCATAATACGGATCCAGTGAATTTACCCTTGCTTCACCTTCTCTACTCTGTGTCTAGCAGCTAATGGACTCCCTCTAAAGAGTAAATCGAATCATGATATTCTTATGCCGAGACCTTCCAGGGCCTCCCATGGGTGTGGTTGGAGTGTAAAATAGACAATGGCTAGAAATGTATAATCAGCAAATATAGTAATTTAGCATTGTACTATCAGGTAATTACAACTCATGGGGATTAAAGGAATAATTCCATAAGTATACACAAATATTAGCTATTCAATGGGAAAATGTTAAGTCTCAGATCATAACAAGACTGGGTAAGATTGAGACATCAAATGGACAGACATGTTCCAAAGAGGAAACATAAATTTCTAGCATGTATTTCGAAAGAAAAAAAAATAGATTCAATCACAAAACACAAACAAATAACAATCAAGACCTTTAAAAGAAAAGAATGCACTTGAACTCAGTCAGCCACCTCTAGCAGTCGGCTCGCCGGCAGCCTGATGGCTGACTGTCTGCCCTCATCCCACATCTTATTTATTGCCTGAGAGCTGCTTTTCCTGCTGGGGTATGAGTTTGAGAGACAGTTCTCTTTCTCGCTTCTCTCCCAGTTTGTGCGCAGGGCTGAAGGTTGCAGAGCTTTACAGCAAGTGTGAAATTCGGTCAAAACTTCAGACACAACAGAAGGGGAAGAGCTGTACTCTCCAACAATGACAGATGGTGATATAAATTATCCGACTCTCACAGAACACTAGCCACAAAAATAATGTATGGAGCTTTCCTTTATAGGATACCAAAATGTTCATGATCTGACGGAAAGGGGGAAAGAAAACAAACGGAACACAGAGCACACTGTCAACAAGCAAACACAGAAAGAAAACATCTAATAAATATCTATTTAAGACAAGCCATTACATTACACTTCCGTGCTGCAAAAATAATAAAAGCAGCCGCCTGCAAAGAGGGCTAGATAAGAAAACTTCCTGTTTCAACTTTGTCACTAGCGGGAGGGAAGAAAAATCTCAACTAAGGATTTGGATTACAAGCCGGTGTTTAAACTAGCTTTCAGTTTGAAGACACACTAGCAGCACTACCCAAGGAACTTCAAGCAGGGCCTTTCACTCAGCTTAGTCTCGGGTTGGTGGTTCCTTCCCATGGCTGACAAAGCACCCAGAAATCTCTTCTGTGACAACCAGACCTCAGTGACAATTGTCAGACACCACAGCATGGTTAAACACAAATGCGTTCTGATTCTAGAATTGATGAGATGGGACAATTTAAGTCTTTACGATTACCATCTATATTGAGGCTGTAGATTAAAAATATTCTGTACTTTATGTAATGTAGATATATTTAGTATTTGAGAAAGTAAAAGATTTATTTTAACATTTAGACATGGTGTTCTAGGTGAACATGTTTTGAAATATCATTACCTCAGCCAAGTATCTCTGAAAATGAGTGACCTTTCTCCCAACGTTTCTCAAGTACTTGTTCCCAAGCAAAACTGTTCTAACAGCTAAACTCAGTATCGTCGTGCGACAATTCAGTAGATACAGAGGCTAACCTGGTGGTCAGGTATAAAAGCATCTTTCAGATTGTGAATGTGTATGTGAAAACAGAGCATCATCACTATCACTAACATCTTTGAGCACCTACCACTTGCAAGATACTAGAAAAAGCCTGGCGAGAGGGTCGGCGGCATGGGAGTGTCAGCCTCTGCTTTCACTTCCTGAGTTCACAGATTCTGTTGAGCAACAGTATGCAAAGCACTAGGAATATACTGCTGGGCTCCATGGTTAGCAAACTAGAATATGCTGAAGACATAACGTGGCTGTCAGTTGGGAAACTTTTCTGCATATACAGAGAGCTGAATGCTACAGAAATTACAAGTTTGTTTATGGGTATATATGTAGTCCTAGGGCATTAAATTAGGGGTGCTCAGAAAGGCACACATTGCCATAAAAGACCAGGAGAGGATCTTTTTCAAGTAAGAAAGAAAAAAATCCATTTGCCCTAAAACTGGTGACTTTGGAAAGGTTAAGGATTATCTACCAGCCTCCAGTTTGAGTTAAAAATAAAATCTTGTCTCAACCTCAGAAGCTTTGGCTGTGGCTCAGTCTTCTCAAGTACCGGGCTTTGGTGTCTGGCCTTGAGAGTTTGTGACTAACCCAGCCTGGAGTTCCCTTGAATTAAAACCCTGGCTTGGTTTGTACATCTCCAGACTCCCATTTCAGTAATTACTCCATTAATTGAGTGAGAGAGTCACTTAACATGTCTTCAGGGGATGGAGGTCAGGTTGAACTAAGGAATGAAGATGACAGCAATCCCTCCTCTTTTTGGTAAAACGTTTTATTGTTAAATCGCAGAGTCACATATTTGGAACTAGCAGCAGCTGGAGGCAGTCATTGATGATTCTCTTGAGAACAGGATTAAGGCATATTATCATTGCATCCCTAGCAGAGAGGCCATGAGTCTCACAAGGCCCCTGGGGTAACAGGTAACACAGAAATTCACCAAGTCCTTGTCAGAAACTGGGCCTTCTTGAATCCTGGGGGTGAACTGTGTATCTACATAATTGTCTCTTGCCATCTTATTTTTCTCATGAGTTTAATGGCTTCTTATGCATACTTCTGAGCTAGTCACCAGCCTGACACTCCCCCCCACCCGCCCCCAAGAGTTGAGACATTCAAAAATTTATTTGTAAATATACAAAGGGAGTTCCTAGGCAATCCTTACTTTCCAAAGCCACAGGCTTAAGGGCTGACTTCCCCCACTCCTCTGACTTCTTTTTCCTCCTCTTTTTAAATGTAGAACAACCCCCATAATCCACCAGCTTAATATCTTCAAATTGCATATAAAAAGGGAAATAAATTCCGATTACCTACCCAATCAGCCACCCTCCAGTCCTTTCAATCCTGATTCATGTGTATATTTGAAACACCTGGGAAGTCAGCCCTTCCTCTGCTTCACTTCCTGACCTGGAGGCAGCTTTTACCAAGCTCTCAGGATTATATAATTTATGTGCCCTGGTCCTTAAAAATAATGGTGACGTACAAAAATTCACAGTGGAATCCTAGGTGGGAAGGCGCTTCAACCCACGCGCAGGTGGACAGACTAAGGGATGTGCGCCCTGCATCCCACACTCTGGGTCAAGAGCACCCGCCTACAGAGATGCAGAGCTGAAGCCCAGACCAGGCCCTGGGGCGCCGACCCCGAAGGAGCCGGCCACTTTCCCGAGCTTCCGGGCGCCGAGCCTCGGCCGGGACAGGGGCAGGGGCAGGGGCAGGTGTGGCCAAGCTCGGCGGGCACCAAGAGAGTGGCGGCACGGCGCAGAGCGGCGGG